TGCTGAAACCTCAGTGTCCTGGGGCAGTGGTACCAGAGCCTGTGCTCTCCAGGCAAGTGGTCCTGAGAGCCTGTGCAGAGCCAGGACCAGGACTCATGGCACCCAGCCACCCCACCCCATCCCACCACAAGCAAACTCTGCCAGCCCAGTGAGCCTCAGGTGGTCGGAGTGTGAGACCTCAGCAAATCCAGGGCTGGGGAAGCCTGGAAACCAAACCACAATTCCCACTTTCCTCCTGTCCAGAGAGCACTTGGCCTCAGCGATGCACTGCCGGCCTCAGGGACAGAGCCAGCCAGTCCCACCACCCTGCGGTGGCCACAGTGGGTAGTGCCAAGTGCTGGGTTCATGCCCTCTCCCCTTCTCAGACAGCTTGCGGTCTGCTGAGTGGCTTTTGGGAAGCAGGGGAGAGACCCACCCCCCTTGCAGACTGTCCTGGTCCTTCTTCCTGAGCCATGTCAGGGAAGGTAGGCTCCAGGCCAGGCACTGAGCATCCCCAGCCCCTGGAGTCCCTGCACACATGCTGCTAACCCAAGCTCATGCCCTCTCACCTTCAGCAGCTCGTTGTACAGGGGGTTGATAGTGTTGCGTTTGATCGTCGTCTTGCGTTTCCCTTGCCGGGATTTGTCGGGCAGGAGGTAGGTCTTCACATACCTGAAAGAAGAAGCAGGCAGCACTTCACCAAGGTCTCCCCACAATCAGCCCCCCCAGGGCAACCCCAGTCCTCCTGCCTCACCAAGAGCCCCCTCCACTTACAGTTCCCATCTCTGGTGGGCACCCCACAACCCAGCTGAGCACCACCAGCGGTGCCAACAGCCATCACCCCCCCCGCCCCCGGCTCTCACGGGTTGGAGCGCTTCTTGCCCTCATCCCCGTAGGCCAGCTGGCGACACTCCTTCACGTGAATGAACAAAGTCTGCATCTTCTGCTCGTAGCTCAGTGAGAAGGAGATGCCCCCAGTGACGGCGACGTTGCCGAAGTCGCCGGCCTCGCTGTAAATGCTGACCATGCTCCCCAGTGTGCTCTGGAAGACACAGCAGAGCTCAGCCCAGGCAGCACCACTTGGTCATCCCTCCTTGTCCTCAGCAAGCCTACTCCCCATGCCTCCTCTGCCTAGCCCCTCTCCCCGCTTCCTGACTGGGGATGGCCACCGCGTCCCTCCCACCTACACGCAACCTCCCTGGAAGAGAGCTGGGTCTCTGCATTCTGACTCCCTTCAAGAGGAGGAAGCCCCCACACCCCAGGCTCTTGCCCATGAACCCCAGGAGCTGCCTGCCCTGCCTCCCACCCACCCAACACGTCAGCACTGCCCTTCTCCATCATTTCTTCCTGCCGCAAGGACTCACTGAGGAGGTGCCACTGCGCATGCTGCCCCGGGCCACCCGCTGGCGATGGATCTCCACCAGGTTATCTATGTCCTCCTCCTCCTCCTCCTGCGAGGAGAGAGACAAGCTGCCTGCACGGGGCGAGGCAGGGCATGGCCAGCCAGGCAGCCAGCTCCTCAACCCGGCAGTTGGCTCTGTGGCACACCGAGGGTCTCACCAGCTCCGTGTTGAGGCCAGGGACCGACTTGCTCCTGTCTCCCAAAGAGCCGCCTTCCCCCACGAAGTCCTCTGGGCGCAGATCGATCACCGACTTGGTGTAGTCTGCACCAGAGATGGTAAGGCGGGAGGTGGTGGCAGGGCGCAGGACCAG